TTTTTTTTTTTTTTTAATTCTTAGATTCACAGCAGGTATGAGGGCAGGAAAACCTCCAAACACAAGAGGAATTTGGCCATCACAGGAGGAGTGACTTTGTCGGTCATTGCATCCCCAGTAATTGCTGCTGTTAGTGTTGGTAAGTGAGGCAGGTCCATGACTCCCCTGTTAGTTTTCTGACCATACTGGTTTAACCAGCTGGCCAGGGTTTTGTCCTGGTTACACTGCACTTTATGCCAGACTCACCTTGGTAGTTAACTCTGTTTGACACTGTTGTTCTGATTATTTGTGGCTGCAGTAAATTATTAGAGTTTGTCTGAATTTAGTGCCTAGAACTCAGTCTGGCACACAGAAAAAGTTGAATTTTTAAAAATTACCAGGTCAGGGATTTAGTTCAGTGGTGCTGTGCCTACCTCACAAGTGCAAGATCCTGAGTTTGATCCCTGGTACTGGAAAAAAAAATTTTTTTACCTTCAGCCCAAGTTATTCATCCTTCTGCTTCATCTCCTTGCCGTGAGACTTACAAAACCAAACACAATATTTTGAGAGGCAGGAAGGTTTGTCCCAGAAAAATAATATATAAATAGCATTTTATGTTTTTCTTTATGTGGCAGGAATGATTCTAAGTGTTTGCATATGTTCATTTAATTCTCACAGTCCACTCTCAAAAGCAGCATGGTTGCAAACAGAAGGGTGCAGTAATTTTCCCCAGATCATTTTAGTGGGACATGAAGATGCTCTGACTTCAAACTCTGTGCTCATAACAACTAATAAGCCATTATATATCACAGAGTGCAAGTTTTTGGTTTTTTTGTTTTTTGTTTTGAGATGAGGGCTTGCTATGTAGTTCAGGCTGGCCTCGAACTCGGGCAGTCCTCCTCCCTTACTTAGTCTCCTGAGTGCTAGGATTACAAGCAAGTGCCACCATACACAGACATAGTGTAATTTTCAAATTAATACTCTGGAGGGATCCTAAATACCAGTAGTCACTTATTAAATGTTGGATTCTTCATGTTTCTTGTGTTAGCACTTCGGTGAGAAGAAGAGTTGAAGTGAAATACATTTATATATATATTTACTATGCTGGGCACTGCATACATTCTCATCAGCTCTGGGAGAGTAGGTCTGTGGTCAACTAGCCAGTAAATTGGAGCCAAAATTAACATCCAGACCTTTCTGATTACAAGTCTGTGGTCATTCTGTTACATCAGGCAGCCTTTTTGGAATAGACCACTCTCTCTCTTGGCCCTTTATAAAAGTGGTCTGTCTCTGCCAGCCTCAGGGGTATTTAGGACAGTTGCAGCCTGAGGGCCTGCTGACATGCTTCCATTCTTCCCCTAGGAATCGGTGTCCCCATTATGCTGGCCTATGTCTATGGGGTTGTGCCCATTTCTCTGTGTCGGGGAGGTGGCTGTGGAGTTAGCACAGCCAATGGAAAGGGAGTGAAAATTGAGTTTGATGAAGATGATGGTCCAATCACAGGTAGGAGGATTTTTATTTCCATTTGAATTTAAGGAACACAAGATAAAAATCAATAAAATTTAGCCTATTTTGCAGAAAGATTGTCATTGAATTATTTTAGATAATGAGTTTTGCAGAGGGTAAAGTATTTTTAGCTTTTCATTTCTTTGTTCCAGAATTATTAGGTTAATTCCTCTGGTACTTGTCTCTGTGTGGCAGGTACAAACTAGTAGGATTCAAAGTAACTCCAAGTATGCTGGTGGCAGTAGTCATTATAATAAAGCCTTATATCTGCACAGTACTTTATAATTTTCAGAGGACTTTACACAGTTATTATCTCACTTACTTTTTACAACATCTTTCTGAAGAAAGAGGGCAAGGGCTATTATTATCCCTATTTAAATGGGAACTTCTTTAAGCTTTTATTTTAGTAGCTGTTAAGAGCTTCTTGCACAGCAGGGATTAGAACAAGTCTTGACTTGAATGTTGTTTCCACTTTACTATCTTAACCTACAGAGACCCCCAAAAGTTTTTCAGGCTTCCTACTAGATCCCACAGATTGCCTACATATATTTTGAAATCTTCAGTTTGATTAAAGGCAGCTACATTGTAGCAGAAACAATATTGGACTTGGAATCAGAATTTTAGCTTTATGGGACTGTGACTTTGGTCAAGTTATTTAGTTTTAAATTTTAATTTCTTTTTCTAAAATTGAGGTTTTTGGTGCCTAGTTATCAGAGGATTAAATATAAATGTGTTAAAACACCCAGTGTTTGGTGGTTGCATTTAGTAGCTGTTCATTGAGTGAACACCTTAGTACTTTTCTACATGAAAATCCTGTACTGTGAAGAGTCATTGCACAAAAGTGCCCACCAGACATTTTTGATGCTGTGCTGTCTCGAATTGAGATGTTTGGTTCCACCCACAGTAGCAGATGCCTGGCGAGCTCTCAAGAATCCCAGCATCGGGGAAAGCAGCATCGAAGGCCTGACTAGTGTGCTAAGCACCAGTGGAAGCCCTACAGATGGACTCAGTGTTATGCAAGGCCCTTACAGTGAAACAGCCAGCTTTGCAGCCCTTTCAGGGGGCACGCTTAGTGGTGGCATTCTCTCCAGTGGCAAGGGAAAATATAGCAGGTAAGAAAAAAAGCTAATTTCTAACCAACAGTTGGAATTATGTGATACTGAGCCCTCTCTCTACCAGGTATATTCCATATATCATCTCTTTGATTTAATAGTCAATAGTGTTTTCTTCTACCTTGAGCAAAGTCAAGAGTTCCTTCCACTGTGGTATAGCTGCTCCATATAAAGAATCTTGAGGTTAAATCCTTCCTCTGCTACCTTAGGCTACCTGCTCCAAAAAAGGGAGGGACCAGTCATTTCTATAGAATCCTGAGGCTGTTTCTCCACTGGGCCAGTCATTACCGCCTAGTAAGGAGCATTTATATTGTATCTTATTGCACTGGTGCTGTGATCCTTATAACCCTCCTATTTCCATTGGCTAAAGATGATCAACTCTATGAATTTGTGTTGAGAGTATGTAAAGCTTTATGACTAAAATGATTATGACTTGCCTGGTCATTTTATCATTTAGACAAACCAGAATATATTCGGAAGGGCCAAGCAGATGTTAGATGAGAAGTAGTTCGTTGATCCATTGAAAAGAACAGCTGGGGAGGAGCACAGGTGGAGTAAAGGGTAGAGGGGAGATGCTTGCCTTCAGATACCTGAAGACCTTCAGCTAGGGAAAAGATTAGATTTCTGTGACTTACACCAAGAAGATTAAAATGACTGGACAGGAGGAATATAGGAAATGTTTAAAGTGAGACCAGATGGCCATTTTGGCTGTTAAAATGATTTAAGCAACAGATGGCAGGTGGACTGGATCCTACACCTTTGTGCCTGTCAGTCACCTGGGAACCTCTTAAAAGTAGATTTTAGGACTCATTCCCGGTATTAGTAACTCAGTCTCCTGAGTGGGACCTAGGGGTGGTCTGTGATTAGAAACGGCCCCCTGGTGAGTCTGTTGTAGACCTCATATGACCCAGTATCTGGGAACCACCTAAGAAGGTGTTGGCCTCTGAGAAGGGTTTTGCCACCTGAGTGAATCTGTGCAGAACTGCAGCTGTGGCCCTGGTTTCTGACCAGGTACACTGTCTCTTGCATGCCCGCATTTTTCTGCCTTTAGCACACCTCAACTCACTCTTCTGTGGTTGTCATTGTTTCTTTCTTTCTTTCTTTTTGAGTGTCATTATGTAGTTCAGACTGGCCTTGAACTGACTTTGTAACCTATGCTGGCTTCAGACTCTCAGTGACCCTCCTGTCTCAGGCTCCTGAGTGCTGGGATTACAAGTACACACAATCATGTCTTGCTTCCTCAGCACATTCTTGAAGGGCACTTGAAGCAGAGCAGGAGAGCAAAGGAACAGGTGGCTGGATGGAGGCTGCTGCTGTGTCCCATGACTCTGGTGTCTGTTATGAGGGGATCCCACCCCCATATGCTAGAGGATTCACTGCTGTGCTCTCTGAAAGCCAGCTCCTTTTAAAAGAGCAGACAGACATAATTGGAGAGTGACTTGCTGAAACTGCAGCTTAGCCAATCCAGCTGTTCCAGTTCTGTGAAAGCCTTTCTTTTATAGGAAGTGAGTGAGTCAGATGGGCTTGACTATGAAACCCATTATGAGGAAATATTTAAATGTGCAGAAAAATGGTGTTGTTAGAGCCAAGAAAGGAAATGGTTATGAGTCTCAGCTCTGAGACACCATTGGGAAAGTGCTGCTCTACCAGAAGGGAGGAGGTTGATCTCTGATGATGAGTCTTTCAGTCCTTTAGCCTGGAGGTAATTTGATTGCTAAGTGTTTGAATTCCTAATATGTACAAGGCCTGGAGGGTGAAAGTGTCAATGAGGTGTATGTTTTTGTAGAGCGCACTGAGGAGTTGGGAGAGAGGTACACAAATTGATGAGAAGGAAGATGGCTATGGGAGCACTTAGTTGGAAGTGACTGATTTGTTGGGCCAAGGAAAATGATACCTCTTGTTGTTAGGGCTGAATATAAGTTTTTCAGGCAAAGAGAGGGAAAAAAGAGAAAGCTTCCCAGGACTAGCATGTACAAAGTCATAGAGGCATAAAGTATAAATTCAGAATGGATTATAATGTGGGACCTACAGTGAGAGGTGGAACTAGAAAGAGAGCTTCCTGGCAGACCAGGAAGACCCTAACCACCTGTTGGCAGGAGGCAGCCAAGAGTCAGAGAATGTCAGAGTGATGCGTCTTTGTCCACACTGGCACTGGTCTGGAGGCTGTTTGACTTGGACTGAGGGGCTATTAGAAAGACAGCCCCGTGGTAGTTATTCAGGCAGGCGATGTCAGGGGCTTGAAGTGAAGCATTAGTAGGGGGATAGAAAGGAGGGGACGATTTCAGTAGATATTTAAGAGAGAAAATGTGTGGGCATGTGTTTGAGCTGTTTGACAGTTGGAAATGATCAGACAGATCATCACAATCCGTGAGAGAATAATGGAAGAGACGTGCCAGGAAGCAGACTTTCTCAGAGTGCCAGGTCTCATATTAACTTGAACGTCCCCTCTTTACACAGGTTAGAAGTCCAAGCCGATGTCCAAAAGGAAATATTCCCCAAAGACACAGCCAGTCTTGGTGCAATTAGTGACAACGCAAGCACACGAGCTATGGCCGGTTCCATAATCAGTTCCTACAACCCACAGGACAGGTATGTGACAGCCAGCTGCCAGGACAGGGTGCATTGGAACATGTCTGGTGGGCACTAGGTCTCCTAAGGCTCACTGGCTCCTGTCAGGGCTTTGTGTCCGCTCTAGTAAGATACGTTGTATGCCCTATGAATTCACTGAGCAAGTTCTTGGTCCTGGAGCGTTTGGCATCTCTTGGTTCTTGCTAGCGCTTGATGTTTAGAAATTCCTTCCTTCCTTTCCTCCCTTCTGTCCGCTCTCCACCTCCACCTCCACATGCCTACTCTTAGTTATTATGTATGTCATTACTCACGCGGAATTTAAAGAGCTAGATTGGTATTCATTGGTGTCTGTGAGTCTAGAGTCTCTGCTCTTCCCCTTCCTTGATATGGTCTGATAGCCATTTTTTCTTTCGCTTCGAGTAGTGTGTCTGGCATGGTGGGATTGCAGTACTCCTTAACTGCAGGGATTCTGGCTTCTAATTGTGGCACAGTAATAGAAAGCTACAGGTCTTCCGCTTTCATATTTTGAGTAAAATAGTATGAGGTTCTGACCCTCAGTTGACTTCTAGAAGCTCTATTTAGATATTTAAGGAGAGTTGCTGTTTTTTGTTTTTTGGTTTTCTTGTACCGGGGATTGAACTCAGGAATTCGCGCTTGCCAGGCAGGCAGTGACATCACTCATCTAGTCCACTGTTTACCCATATTTTTAAACACCTGACACAAAACTGCTTTTACCAACGTAGCATGACCCATGCACATGACTCAGCAGTGGATTTTTGCCTCCACAGAGAATGCAACAATATGGAAATCCAAGTGGACATTGAAGCCAAGCCAAGCCACTACCAGCTGGTGAGTGGAAGCAGTACGGAGGACTCACTCCATGTCCACGCTCAGATGGCGGAAAATGAAGAAGAAGGCAGTGGCGGAGGTGATGGTGGCAATGAAGAGGATTCCCCCTGCAAACACCAAAGCTGTGAACAGAAGGACTGCCCACCAAGCAGAACTTGGGACATCAGCCTGGCCCAGCCTGAGAGCATCCGCAGTGACCTGGAGAGCTCTGATACACAGTCAGACGACGTGCCAGACATCACCTCAGATGAGTGCGGCTCCCCCCGCTCCCACACTGCAGTCTGCCCTTCCACCCCCAGAACCCAAGGTGCACCGAGCCCAAGTGCCCACAAAAGCCTCTCTGCCCCAGCCGAGGGACAGACTGTCTTGAAGTCAGAAGGCTCAGAAGCCAGAGTATGAGGTGGAATGAATGCTCCTGTTGTGAGAAGCACACTTGTAACTGCATCTTTTGGAATCCTTTTGCGGGGGGTGATGTGTTTTATGTGTTTTATCTTTGAAGATTCTCTGGTCAGGTTTTCCCCAGGGAAATTCTGAGAAATTTGTAATTTCTTACCAGATAAAACATACAAAAATCTTACCCTTAGTCCCCCCCCACACACCTTTTTTAGTTTTAATTTATTGGTTAAACTGATATTGGCATCTGTGAGGTGTGTCAAAGAGTGTACATATGTATGTGTGTATATTGTATGTATGCTAACATTACTGAAGGACACATTTTAATAAAGATATCTGTCATAATTCAACTCATCTCATTTTGCTTGGCTTGGATAGTCCAACGGAGCCAAGTGTTCGATTGAAACAAAACACTACAGTTTTGACAGTCTCTAGACCTGAGTTTTTCTAACCCCAGGCAAGAACAATTGCATTCAGATATAACTGCAGTGATATAAACCAGTGAATCTCCTAACACGATGGGAAGCAAAGCTGGGTTTGATTTGGACTGTGTAGTCAGTCAGACCGAGGGATTATTAGCTGAGCCAGCTGACTAGGGAAGCAGCAGATCACAACGAACTTCGTTTGCCCTCTAGAAGCAGCTGCAGTTTCCCTCTAAGAGCTTCCTTACTCTCTTCTGCATTGTGATCGCTCTTATTCCTGTGCTGCAGAGGAGGAAAGGCCTGGCAGTCCCAGTAGCACTGATGAATTGCCTTAGTGAACGTTGTGCAGTCACAGGTTAGGGAACAGAACAGTCTCACTGAAAGGGGAGATGCGCTGATTCTGCATGACCATCAAGCAGTGACATAAGTCTAACTGTGCTGTAAAGTACATGCCCCCTGCTCCAAAAAGCTGTTCTGCCAGCCTAATTTAAGAGGGACTAAGAAATCTTAAATTTATAATGAAAAGGGAAACCTGCCATCAGAATCTCTGGATATATTTAGTTTTACCCGATCTTACAGATAAGAATTGCACTAAATTAGTACTTCTTGGGACTTTGGCACTGCCTAGAATGTGCTTCCTTATGAAAGTTCCTATACAGAATAGTAGGAAAATTCAACAAAAAGCTCATGAGACTTGATGCAAGATTGCAAGTCTGGCAGGAACTTACTTTGTGATGGTATGAATCAGTTACTCTTTCATGCCCCAAATTTCCCCAACTCTTAAACCCCAGACTGTCACCTTAACCCCAGGCCCAGAGGAAGAAAACGTCTTTCCCTAAGGACAAGATGGCTTTCTGTTTCCTTTCACAGATGAACCTGCTTTTTGTCTTCCTGGCCTGTTTTACTTCGGTGAGGATGAGGAGTCTGCACAACAGCCAGCACAGAAGATTATCTCTTGGGTACTGCAGTCCAGCTTAGCACATTTCCTTGTTAGTGGACTTGGGGTCTCTGGAAAAAAGTGCCCTAGATGGTGTTCCTGTATAACGAAAGGAACCTATTGGGAAAAGAGGCAGAAATGCAAATTATCCACTCAAAACTTGCATTTCTCTTGAAGCTTCATCAAGAGAGCGGTTAACTTGGATAAAACTAAAAAAGTCTGTTGGAGGGGCGTAGTTCACAGCCAAATCTGTATTCCTTCTCTGGGCTTCACTTAATGCTGTGGGACTTAGGCACCTTACTCTGGGAGATTGTTTTCACTTAGCCCAGATGGGATAATAAGCCTCGTGATGAGGTAGTAAACAATAAGGTGATGTACTAGAAATGCTTTTGGTAAAGGCCCATGTTTTTTTCCTCCTGTAGGAATAAGAAGACATAAAGGAGATTCTGGATATCCCCTAAGAAAGGAAGCCCAGAACACTGGCTAGGACAAAAACAAGTTTATCTGGATCTTAGCAGCACTGCTATCACCTCCAAGGCATTAGTAGCTGAAAAAGGTTCATCAGCGCCACCTGGAGGAGAACATGTGCAATGCATTGAGAAAGTTAATTCTCTGCTGAGAAAATGGGGAAAGTTTAATTTCATACGGCCTTCATTCATCCTGAAATACCTATCCTTTCAGCTGTGGGATGGAGCAATGAGGAAAACTCAAAATTCTTGTCCCCTGGAAACTTATATGCTATGGAATAAGACAATCACACACAGTCTGGATGAGGCCACATATGCTAAGGAAACCAAGGAAAGAGGTGCAGTTTAGAGAGAGAATGTAGGCTTTTTTGATAGAGGTGCAGTTCATTAGGGACCTGAATGTAGCAAGGAAGAGAACATCCAAGGAAAGTGAGTGCTAGACAAGAGGAATCGTGCAGAAAGGTCTTCGATGGGACATCCTTATTTTGTTTTTATTTATTTTGTTAGTGCTAGGGATCGAACTCGGGACCTTGTGCTTGAGAGGCAGGCAGTGGAACCACAGAGCTAAATCCCCCGGCCCTTGTTTTGTTTTTAATGTAACACTAGTGATCTGTATAGCTAGAACAAAGTGGGCAAAGGTGAGGAGAGTAGTAGATTAAGTTGAGGCAGCTGGGGCCAAGATTGTGTACATTAGGGAAACAACCCCGAAGGCAAGGAAGCTCAGTTTCTCTGAGGCCAAAAGGAGAAATAATGTGCAGAGGTCGAGTTGGGCTGCTAGCAGTTGACTTTCAAAAGGGTTGAAACTAGGAATCCTACTTGGATAGGTCAGTGGAAAAAAGCCAGTGGATTTGGTAAATCTGTACTTACTTAACTGGATCTAATGTATTGTACTGCAGAAGCTGGCAAGCTAAAACTTCATGTCTTAACTTCCACTCTGAATTTGCTAATTGGATGTACAAAGGAGATGTGGAAGGAATGTTTAGGTGTTATGTTTAGCTGTATTGGTTATTCCTGCAAGGTGTATAAACTTTAGGTTTTATTTTTAAATCCAATCCAATGATTTTTTTTTTTGTACCAGGGATCAAACTTGGGTCCTTGCCCTTGCAAAGCAGGTGGCAGAACCTCTGAGCTAAACCCCTGGCTTTAGGTTTCTTTTTAAGGGTACTCCAGTGTCTATTAGGTGTCCTTTCAAGGGCCATGGGTTTAGCTCAGTGGCACCATGCCTGCCTTATAAGCACAAGGGTCCTGGGTTCGATCCCTGGTACTGCAAAAAAAGAAAGAAAAAAAATATCCCTTCAAGACACGTGACAGCAGCTTGTGATACGTGTTCCTGTGGTCAGTGTGTGGCTTCCTGACCCCTTTCCCTGTTAGTGCTACATGCGGCAACTCTCGCGGTAGGCCAAGTCTGGGAATCTTCTAGAAGCCCAGCTATAGCGCTCTTGGCCAGGCTTTCCATCTCTTGTAATCACCTCATTTGCTTATATTGAGTCCTTTTCTACTTAAAATTGATGGGAGAGTTTTGTTTTCTGAAAATACTTGTGGTTCCAAAATTGGCTACTGGCAACAAGTACTTTTAGATCACTTAGGACTAAAAAGGGTTTGAAAGAAATGAGGATCTTGTTGCCTTTGGAAAATGGTAAAGTGGCAGGCAAAGGCTTGTATCTGTGATCACCTAAGAATCAACATCATTTGGAGGAAAGACTGCAGATCCAGTGGCTGTCATAAGTTATGTAAGAAATGAGGATTTAGATGACCACACCGCAAGGTTAAAAATAAGAAAGTGTGTCTTCAGCTTGAGGTAAGTACACAAGATCCCAAAAGGATTCTGATCCCAAAAAGATTCTATCTCATAAAACTACAAGGCTGCTGTACATAAAAATTAATGGAACTTTTCTAGGCCCTTCATGGGAAAGTGGGACTCTGAAGTGAAAAAATGGGGACATCTGACAAGAGTTGGGTAAATCCTAGTGCTCTAAACCCACTTACTCCACTTAGCCCTTCTTCTCGCTGATAAGGCTGGTTCTGTTACTTGAAGACCCTTGGGTAGTTGCCTTGAAAGGGAATTTGCTACACTTCTCGTGACCCATCTGCTGTACCTCATCCCTATCAGATCTGTAACTACGGAGTCAGATCCCAGTGCTTCTGGAAGACAATTTCATCTGGAAAAACTTATAGAAGGATTGCAACATTTTGCTAATTGTCATCAGAGAGTGTGTGTAGACTGGATTTGGGTTTTGTTTTGTTTTGTTTTGTTTTTTTTGGAGACAGGATCTCACTGTGTGGTTCAGACTGGACTTAAGTTTACTACATAGCCCAGGGTGGCCTTGAACTCTCAGTGATCCTTCTGCCTCAGCCTCCCAAGTACTGAAATCCAGGCTGGGCTGAATTTTAAAAGTATTAGATCAGGAAGAAAGGAGCATAAATTTATATTTTCATTTTAGTTGAATTTATCAATATTAGCATACTAGAAATTCTGGATTTAATACATTTATTGGTGTTAACAGCTAAAAGTGGTTCTTGGCTGTTTCGTTAGATGACACCTGGATTTAAAAGTGGCCTTCACTCAAAAGATACTGAGATGCTAAAAATCCCTTCATTAGAAGAACCAAAGGCACAATGACAGATGTGTTGACTGTAGATTTACTCTATATGTGACCTACTTATCTCCTAATTTTGTCCTCCAAAATTGCCTAGATGCTGTTCCTTTAACCATGGAGTTGGAAAGCACGTAATTAAGGAGAACACCTTACTCTTTTCTGGGGTTTTGTGTTTTGTTTTGTTTTTCCACAATCCTGGTAAAGGAACTTGGGGCCTTACACATCCTAGGCAAGCACTTTCCTACTGAGCTACATTAGTTATCCTTCTCCTGTTGGACAGCGGTGCTGGAGTGTATATCCTTCCTAGGCTGAGAATGAAGCTGAGAGACATGACCTTTGACAGGGTATCTAATGTGGAATGACAGGGGTCAAGGTATAGTACCAGGACCACAGCTAGAGTGCTGAAATATACGGGTTACCTACTGATGTCCTACTTGGTTTATGTAACAAAACAAAACCTAAGGTGTGGCAAATAGAGGCCTATTTGGACTTCCAAAAGGGAGAATTTTGGACATAACAGTTGTCAGAGCAGGGGACGCTAGGTAGCCTGGAGGGAGCACTAGTAACCCCACCATAACTACATTAGAAATCTATTTTCTCCCCAAAGGAATCTTAAGCCATTTACCTACACTCCCGTGCTTAGGGAGGTGGCAACTCCCAGGCCTTTAAGGATTACTTGGAGACTGGCCCTAAGAGCACAAATCCCAAGGGGCCTGGAAGGAGTGTGCGGTCCACTAGTTAGAACAGAAGCTTTTGGGATATTATGGATTGGATTATTTCTCCCCAAAATCATACATTGAAGTCCTAACCCCCAGTACCTCAAAATATGACCTTAATTGGAAATAGGGTTGTTGCAGGTATAATTAAAGTGGGATGGGGTCATCCTACAGTAGGGTATACCCTGAATCCAAAATCATAGGTGTTGGTATAAAAGGGGAAAATTTAGACAGAGATATGCACATAGGATGAATACTGCAGGCAAGTGAAGGCAGAGGTTGGCGTGACCAAGGGAGGCCAAAGATTACCAGGAAGGGCATGGAACAGATTCTCCCTTCAACCCCTCAAGAAACCATGTGCCAACAACACCTTGATGTAGAACTTCAAGCTTCCAGAACTAAGACAGCTTCTGTCGTTTAAGCCACCTAGCTTGGGCTACTTTGTCATAGTAGCCCTAGCAAATTAGCACTTACATGGACATCAGGTGACAAAAAGGAGTTTGGACCTGGATCTGTGTCACAGCCGCTCTGGTTATTCCCCAGTTCCTGTAGGCACAGTTGTAATAGATATACTTAGCAACTGGAAGAATCTTCACACCTGCCAAAGAGTGAAAGCTATTGTAAAAACTGCAAAGAAAACCTGTGGAGCCACTCTTTCCCACCGAAGTCATAAACCCTAAGCAATGGCACACGCCTGAGGGAATGAGCTATTAATGCATCGAAGACAAGATTCCGGAGTGATAGTCCCTATCCTAGCCACATTTAATCTCCCGTGCACGACTCGATTTGTACCTGTTGTTGCCCTGGAACCAGCAGGACCTGGAATATCCTGTTTTCTCTATCCCAAAGAACAGACCCCCACTGGGGTCAACAGTACACCCCATGTCCTACATCTAGATAATAGTGCTTCTCCAGCCCTGCTAAAATCTAGACTGTAGGTACTTTAATTGCCTCACATCACCCAGAACATCACCATTCATGTTTCTAGTAAGCAAGAATTAGCAGTTTATCCTTTAAATGCCTTGTAAGTCATATTCTGGAGGATAGGAGATCATCTCTGTGGAAATTAAGGGAACCTCTAACTTTATAATAAAGCTCTAAGGGTACATGGCAGTACCATCTCCAAAGTGAAGGTTGGGTCTACTGTACAGCCCTCACCACTAAGACAGCCTCATGCACAAAGTCTGGTTATGCTGTACTGACTTGTTCACCAAGTAACTAGGAAGGCTTGCAGCCTTGAGCCCAGAGAAGGAAAACTCACCAACTGACACAGGCTGTAGCATACACGGTTTGGGGTTTGTGACCAAGCAGACCCAGGGGTGTGTGAAGACCTGTTGGTAGGTGAGGATGCTACAAGCATGGTATGGTAGCCTCCCACAAAGAAACCCAGCACTGAGCCTAAAGATTTTGGAATCAAGCCATGCCATTTTTTGGCAATAGCTGCCTCCTTTAGAAGCTGATATTCAGTAACTACAAAACTTTGCTCCATGCTCTGGGGGAACCAGCTGATCACTAGCAGTTGAATCAGATCGCTCCCATCACAGAGAAGGCAGCATAGTGATTGTTAGGATGGTAGTTTCCAGAGCCAGAATGCCTGGGTTGGAATTCCATCTCCACCACTGGAGTAGCTTATGACTATGGGCAAATAAACCTCTCTATTCCTCTTCATTTGGGATTGTGAGGATTAAATGAACACCTAACCTTGCCAGGCCTAGCATTTTTTTATGTTGATTATTGTCACCCTTGTCATCATTATTATCCATGGATTTACTAAATGCCTTTTATTCATCGTGTGTTATATCACACACTACCTCTCTAGTGAGGCACTGAGCTAAGATCCACAGGATCATCCCAAAGCAACTGGCCTCACAGAGCAGTCAGATGGCTCAGTGAAGACTCATCTGTGGCCCTGGAAGTTCTGGCCTGTGTTCTGAGGCTCCGTGACTAAGATGCGGGGTGCTTTTCCTCCAAGGTCACACTGTGTGGGGGTAGGAGCCAAGAGGTGTGGGACAATGGAGTGCCTTACAAATACCCCTAAAAACTCCAAATTTTTCTTCCTTTTCCCTGGGACCTGTATTTCTTAGTTTAGAAGTCTCAATAACTCCAGGAGAAATATTTCAATTAGGGCAGACAATGAGTCCAGTGAACTGGAAGTTTCTTGGCTAATTTGTGCGCCTCTTCCATGGAACCAGTAGCCTAAATGGAGTGACTTATCCTGATCATCAAGGGAAATAGGGTTGCTTTTGCTTAGTAAGCCAGGAAGGGGTGAGCCTGGAATCTGAAGGAGTGGCGGGGGCTACCTTGAGTTCTGCCATGTTCAGGAGTAAAGGTTCAAGTCTGGACCACTAAAAGCACAGTTCCTTTAGAAATACAAATTTAGGTCACCCTACCCGATGAAGGATTTCATCCTGTTGAGTAAGGTACTGGCTGGGGGAAAAGGAACATGAATAGTGGAAAAGTATATTAATATAAGCAAGTAACTCATGAAAAGCTGAGAAATGAAGACTTAGCGTTTCATGTTTTCTTACTCTAATATAACAAGCTCATAGCCAACAATGTTAATTTTGAATTTCTGTAGTTTCTGTTGTAAGTAAAAATGACTAAAATATCATCCACAGTTTCAAAAAAATGAATCCTTGCATCAAATCCCTTCCTGGAGGCAGGGGATGTCGCTCAGTGGCAGAACCTTTGTCTGTCATGCATAAGGCGCTGGGTTCAATCCCCAGCACTGCCAAAAAAGAAAAAGAAAGAAAGGAAAAAACCTTTCTACTTTTTTAGAGTGATTTCTCTTTCCTGTGATTGCTCCCTGACTGGTAAACAACACGGTTTAAAGCTAGTGAGGATGTGCCGCACCACTCTGTGTAGCCAAAAACTATAACAATAAATTCCTACAAAGCCAGGGGTGAAAGCACCTCTGAGATCAGCTTATCCATTTGACAGAGAAGGAAACTGAGGCACACTGAGGAAGACAAAAGCCACAAAGCTGAGTGTCTGTAGCTCCATCAGCCCAGCACACCTAAACTGACTTTGTTTCGTGAAGTCACCACAGTCTACGTCATGTACCTGCAACAAGACCAGCCCTGCCAACCTTACTGTGGCTGACCGGGCCCAGGACTTGGGCCTGAACCGAATGCTGTGTGAACAAGCTAGATGTGATGGTTGCCACCACCTATGTGGGACTGGCTGGTAGGGGGGACACAAATGCCAGGACCTGCCCAGAGGGCATGGTGCCAGACACAAGCCTGTCATTGTTCTTCTGCTTCAGGGGACCTGCTTGGGCTGCTGACAGCTTTCCCTGATAACCCTGTTCCATCTGGGTCCTTACCATGCCCCCCCCACCAAAAGGCATCCGAGCCTAGACCTTTCTTGCACACCTGAAGAAGCTCACCAGCATGCAGCCAGGCTGAAAGAGAAGCCGGGCACACACCAAGCTCTGCGATTCCAGACATCACGCTCTTCCCACTCTGACGTCGCTGTCTCCTGCACAGAAAGAGGACTTCGTGGGTGGACAGCGACAATGTGTGAACGCAGCTGACACTGGTTGCGTTGTGAGGCCTGAGTTGTCATCAGAAAGATGATCGGCAAGAGCAAGGGACAAGCCTGCGCTACTTAAGTCCCTCTTTGGGGTTTGTCTGTGGACAAAATTCGGACACAGATCTGGATATGGCTCCCTGCTTTCCCCTCCTCAGGCACCTGTCTTTGAGGACATTCGTTCACTACTCACTGGCTGCCGGCAGCTGCTCCGTTGCAGGTTCAGTCTGTATGATGCTCTTTAGCACAATACTGAAGACTGGATAATGTATAGAGAACAGATTTATTTCTCAGTTCTGGAAACTGCAAAGTCCAAGGTTGAGCAGCCCACATCTGGCAGGCACTTCTTGCTGTATCATCCTTTGGTAGAACGTGGAAGAGAAAGACAGCACAATCGTGTGCGTGCACTGGATACAAGAGGAATCTCAGACCTGCAGCCTCCAACCCTTTTACAATCAGCATTAATCCACACACGAAGGTGGAGCCCACAGGACCTAAACACCTCCCACAAGGCCCCAGCTCCCAACATTGTGCCACTGGAGATTAATTTTCCAACACATGCTTTTTGGGGAACACCATAACATAAACCCTTGGCTGGGACACAGAAAGAAATTGACACCCCACAGACAGCAAGCCAGGCCCTGAGGCTGGGGAAATTACCCATGACAAACGGCCCTGGAAACCATAAGTGCGAATGAGGGAGGAGTTGGCTTTCTCTTCTGAGCCTTGAACCAGCGAAGGCGGAGACAAGCAGCCAGAAAGGGGAGGAAAACAGAAGCCAAGGAGCTGTTTGGTTGGGGCTACAGGAGGAAGCCTGGTCAGCTGACACCAGACGGGTCAGGGCAGGTGAGGGATGGAAGCTGTCACGTGGAAAGTAATTGGTGACTTCACAGACAGCAATTTCAGAAGACAAGAGCATAGAAAATTGATTTCGTTCTGTTGAAGAGTGAGTGGGAGGTGAGGAGGTGGAGATGGTGGCCAGCTCTTTACTGGCAAGGGGAGCTTTTATTTTAGTAGAAGAGACTTAAATGTGTTTGGAGACGGAGGAAAAAATAGTGAGAAGACGGGGGAGAGTGACAGCATGAGAGGGGAAGATATTCCATGGGTCTTTGTCCCTGAGAAGACAGATAATCAAGGATGCATGCAGAGCATTTGCTCAGGGGCCTATGGAGTGTCCCCTCCCCTGTCAGCTTGGAGGGGAGGAGGGGTGACAAACCATAAGATTTAGTTGGTTGATAGTGAGAAAATATAAAATCCATAGAACAGATAGTTGAGGACATTCATTCAGATAGTTGATAAATACCAGTCCTTTCTTCTCATTTGCTGTGTGGTTTTGGTCCCCGAGGCTACATGTGATGCCGTTCTGGGATGTTACAAGGCTGAAAAAACAACTAGGACTGGAGAAATGAAGGGCAAATCTGAACTTTCTGGAATTCCAGGACAATAGAGACTGCTCTCTCCCAGGGGATTCCTAAGCTGAGGAGATGGAGCAAGGATCCTCCTGAGGCCACTATGTGGACAGAGACTGCCTGCTAGTAAAGCACAGAGGAAAGTAGAGGAGAGAGTTGGAGAGAAGGCAAGATGTCATTTTAATGCTGGGTTCTAACCAATCCTAAAGTGTCTGAACTTTCAGCTGTGTCATCCAACACATTTCTTCCCTGTCCCAACCGTTTCAGTTAGGACTCTGTGGTCTGTAGCTGAACAAGTTCTGGCTAATACAACATGTGGAGTTGTTGCTAGTTATATTAGTCAGTTTGTCATCATTATATGGAAATAACATAATCAAGTTTTAAAGAGAAAAGGTTTAGGCAGGCGTGGTGGTGCACTCCTGTAATCCCAGCACTTGGAAGGCTGAGGCAGGAGGATCACTGTGAGTTCGAGACCAGCCTGGGCTACATAGTGAACTCCGGGTCAGTCTCAACTACATAGTGAGACCCTGTCTCAAAAAACAAACTAACAAAAAAAAAGAGAAAAGCTTTGCTTTGGCTCATGGTCTTAGAGGGCCGCTCCATAACTGTGATTCTGGGCAGGGTGGCGCATCTTGACACGAGAACAGCAGAGCCAAATTGCTTATATTGTGAGTAAGAAAGTGGAAAGAACAGGCCACAGTCCCCTTCCAAGGATACCCCCAGTCACCTGAGGACCTCCCAGAGGCTCCATATCTCAAAGGTTTCACCACCTCTCAGTAGAACACCCTGGGGAATGAAGCCTTGGAAACATTGACTTTTGGGGAACACTAATCCAAACCATAGCATTAGTGATGCACCCTAATGCTCACAACTGGGTACCAAAACTCAGGTCATCTTTCTGGGACTTGGTAGAACTCTGTTAGGAGGTAATGTGGTATATTCTCAGATATTCAGTATCCAGAAAATGGCAAATTTTGCAAAGAGAATAATGAATAGCATAAAAGACATTATGCGCCAGACACTCTTCTCAGTGCTGTATACATAATTTATTACAGAAGTGAGCACTGTCTTATTCCCTGTTTTGTATTTGAAGAATAGAAGCCCAAGCTTATAAAGCCAGACAGTGGTAGACCTATGATTTGAATCCAGGCAGCCTGGCCACAAACCTTTTGCTCCCGCTGCTGTGCTAGGAGAGCCTACCTGCAGGCAGCATCCAGGATGAATATTGTGGTGGCCAAAGCCTTTTTCAACTGAAAAATGCTCATCTCTTTAGGTCAAAGCTAAAGTGAGGAGGAGCAAAGTCAAGGAGACACAAGGCACAGCGCCAGCCTCCACCCAGCACTTCCTGCCTGTTCCACCTAAGAGGACAACAGGGCAAAGAGCCTTGCGTCTGGGATGCAGCCTGGCACTCAGAGTGAGCCAGCTGTGAGGCCATGTCCTCCATGACCGCCTTTTTGTGGGGGAGACTAGAGAGTGAACCCAAGGCTTTCACACGGACACACTGAGCTATATCCCCAGGCAGATGAGGTACCACTGAGCTACATTCCAGGCCTGGAACAGAATCTTATGTGGCTAAATTGCTGAGGCTGGGCTCAAATTTGCAGTCTTCCTGCCGCACCTACCCTGAGTGCTGGGAGCTTTGCCTCCACTTCTTTTTTTTTTTTTTTTTTTTTTT